ACCAGATAATAATAAAAATAATAAGTATCATCATTTCCCATGATTTGTTGGCGATTTGCCAAGAAATTGATTGCGACCTCTGTTTGCCACCATCACCTTTCAACACCGCTGGGCAATGGGAAGCACCTGACGTCTGTCGCGTCCATGGCGAGCTCTCAGCTCCATGGCGAGCTCTCAGCAGCCAGCGGACACTTTTTCTATGCTCGACGAAGAAGTCGGGATGACGACGAAGAACTTGGCGAAGCTACCCCTGTTTCTAGTTCTTCGTCAATGTGATCTAGTTTCTTGGTGATCTTGGTGAAATGTTGAGTTTCTTGGTGATCTACTTCGTAAATCTGCGTCACAAAGAAAGAACAATTCATGGGATAGCTCAACCAATCAACCAGTATTTCATGGGGGATACCCTCTGGTTATTTAACATAGCCATGGAAAATCCCAACCATAAATGGAGGTCTCTAGCTGGGAAAATCATCTATTTTTATGGGCCATCTATACCATGGCTATGTTGAATAACCAGAGGGTATATCCCATTAAATCCCATTAAATCCCATTAAACCACCATTTTCCCATGGTTTCCCAATAACCAGAGGGTATCATGGGATATCGAAAAACTTCGACAAGTGGTAAATCCCATGGTTGACCAAGCCAGTGGTAAATCCCAGTGCCTGGATCCTTGCTATGCAGGGGACGAATGTGTGTGGTCTCCCTCAACCGAAAAAGTCTGACCACTTTGGGATAGTTAATACTGGTTGGTGGTTTTTCGCCTACCCCTCTGAAAAATATTAGTCAGAGTCAGTTGGGATGATGACATTCCCAATATACGGAAAAATATAAAACATGTTCCAAAGCACCAACCAGAATATCTTGTATATATTTGTATATTGACATGATACTCCCTGAAAGATTGTAAATACTCAAGCTTTAAGTCTAGGTATACTCATGTCAACAGGTTAGGGGTGTATATCTCCCCCCTAGAATTCCCATCATGTCAATATCATGATATATGTCAATAACATTGCAGATGTGATGTCCTTATAAAAAGACCCAGATTATCAGATTTCAATGGATTAAGAATCCTAAACATATACCCTCCAGTAAATTAACATAGACCCTGCCAGATAGGGGTTGGAAGATTAGTTTCTATTAAAAACTAGTTATTTTCAGTATACTGAAAACCTACAGTATGGAATCTATTTCAGAATTACTGGAACATTTCAGTAGGCGTCTGTCCAGCTTGTGAGACAAAAACATACCATAAACCAGTCGTCCAAGTGGACGTCCTGTAAAATGTCCTTTCTATGTTTATGGATGAGTTGTTGATCAGGATTTGCCTAAGGCAAAGGCAAAGTTGTCTGGAGCTTGCTGTTCACATATGTTCATATCGTAGTTTGGGATGAGTTAGAATACTTCAGATCAAAAGTAAACCATCGTTCATGGTGATTTAAGGGTCACTGAGGTTATGTATTTCACTAATTAATTTTTATTCCACAAGACATCGTAGGTTTCCTAAAATAGGGGTTTCCCTAACTCATCAATGTTAACAGGATTTTCCATTATAAATCATCCATTTTGGGGTTCCCCGATTCCTTAATTTCACCATCCCTAAACTGGAAACCCGAAACGCTACTAGGCGATGAACCCGAAGGATTTGTTCATATGGAGGTTTCCTACATGTGGGTACCACAAGTCCCCATGGTGTTCAATACTTTTTTTCAGTATAAACAAGTGATCTAATGACTTGGATGTTTTGGGGTACCATCCATTTTTTAGAAAACCTCCATAAATCATAATATGTTTTGATCTTTACCCACATATAACTAGTTGGCAACCATCATCACTCATCACCTTCCAAAAGAGAATTGCCATAAATGGTGTATAATCATCATCATCCATCATCATCATGATTTTCTTACTGGTGCTTAGTAGGGAATTTTCGGGAATGATCCACTGGCTAACTATGAATAATAATCAAAGCAACCCCCAGCAACCCATGCATTCCCTACGTTTAGCACCAGTAAGTTTTTCATATACCTTCTGGTAATCTAACATAACTATGGAAAATCACAATTTTTAATGGGTAAATCCACTATTTCTATGGCCATTTTCAATAGCTATGTAAGTTTTCCCCCCAGGTTCAAAGAAACCGATCACAATTTCACTATCACATCCAACGATTCACACCAAACATGAACGACTCAAATCGCAGTGAGGTCACTGTAATAGGTCACCTTTTCATTTATCCAAATATATCGCTAATGTGGTAAACCCAATAGTAAACCATCCCCAAAAATTATACCATAAATGGATGGTATAAACCAAAATATGGATCGTTTATTATTGCTTTACTAACATTAAGGAGATTTTAGGGTGAAGAATAGGGATGAAACATCATTAAACCAGCAAAACAAATGCTTTATCCCCGTAAGATTCCATGTTCAGTCACCATAATATCCACATTTTTCAAAGCGACAAAAACTTCGAACGGTGAACTTCTCAGTTGCTTCGGCGTCCTTTTTTCGAATCTGCCAGGCTGGCCGCTATGGGGGCACATGGATTGCCTGAGGGGGTCTGGGCTATGTGGGCTACGTGCTTCATCCCAAGGAACGTACAATGTGGCCCTGAACAGAGGGGACAATGATTGGGAAATGATGAGAACATAGTGGGAAATCACTAAATCGGATTTGTTCAGACCTAGTTAGTACAATGTTTTTTCCCCCGTCCGATAGCTGAGTTGGTGAACATAAATACAATAACTAGGGTTTATGGTAGTTATAACTTATAACTATAGTTAGATAGGATTATAAACCAACTTATAACTAGGGGGGCCCGTATTGTATAGCCCTTAATCCTTAACTATACTTGTAACTGGCATGTTTCATGACATATATAACCAATCCTTAACTATACTTGTAACTGGCATGTTTCATGATATATATAACCTATAGTGGTGTAGGAATTATAATCCGATTTAAAACTGTTGAGGGCCAAAACTAAACTGTAATTGGGTTAGTTCACAACAGTTATAACTGGACATGGCCCCTACTTACCCTACAACTTGGGTGAACTATCCCACTTACTAGGATGAACCGCCAAACTGAGGTGGGAATCCTAGGAAATGTGTTCATAGGAGAAAGCTCGTAGGAAAAAAAACATGGACATTTGATTCGAAAAAAACATCGACCTTTTGTTGCTCGGAAAGGCTTGGACATACAGAAAACATAATAATATTTAATATTTACTTATAACAAGAATATATTTCTACATATCCTCTGGTAAACTAACATAGCCATGGATTATGGCCCGTTTATAGATGCTTTACCTATTAACAATGGTGATTTTCTATAGTTATATTAGTTTACCAGAGGATATTTACACTTTTAGTTGCACATAACTGGAGATACGGCGAAAAAAAAGGCAAAAACAACGTGTATTCCAAGCGTTGGATGGGTCGTTTTTTCATCTTCGAATAGTACCATGTGAAAAATCAAATTCAATCCATAGTGAGATGCAATTTTCATCCGTGTTCCCATATAGGAATTGTCAGAAACTGAATATATCTACTATATATATATATAGTTACAGAATTGATTGTTTTAATTAGTCCACTTATACCCACACGTGTTAATCCGCATACTTACATGGTCAATCTTTGAATGATAGTCCACAAAAAAAGAAATCTTTTGCTGGTTATGGTTATTTTCCATTTATAGCGATAAACGACAGGATTTTTCTGGTACCCATCCAGTCGGTTGGGGATGTGAAAAATGATAGCGTTCAGTTGGTGAACAAAACTCCAAGAACTATGGTTCATGATACTTGTAATGGCATCCCCGGATTAATAAACCATGGTTTGATACTTAAATGGTACCTTCCCAATTAAACAGCCTAGGGGTTTATTAATCCAGGGTTGACATTAACTATAGTATTCATGGGGTTTATCAACCAATTTATAACGTTTGGGGGCCCCTTATCTCTACTGGAAAGGAAAATCACCTCTCGCCCCGGACCTTTCTCGGCCCATGCGCCGACATGCGGCACGCTCGCGTTGTGACCGCGAGTTCCCGCAGCTGCGTCCAGTCAGCAGAGATTCTATGACAGGGGATGATCCTAGCACCTGCTTTAAAGCATCTAATTATAGTGGAAAAATACAAAAAAAAACTTGTTGGACATTCCCAAAAAAACCCAAAATAATGGTGAAACTACGAAAATGATGGGGTTAAATATGGTAAACCACCATTTTTAAGGGTACAAACGGAGGGCTAGGTACACGCACCCAGCCCGAAGTCCTGGATATTCACACTAGCATTCGACAAGACTCATATACTCATGCTGTTTGATCGACAAACCAAAACCCATAAAGACGCATCTCTTTATTATGTGTATATTAATTATAATATGATATATATATACACAGTAACCATTATTTAATTCTTTACAGTATATAATGGAAACACATTCATTTCGCTGGTTGCTCATGTCATCATCACTGAAAAAGAACTTCAGGTTTGCATGGTCTTACAATACTACAATGTGGGACCCGCAAGATAGCTATGTTGGTTTATAACTCCAATAAGTATGGTTTATGGTACCTATATGACAGCTACTGGGGTTTATAAACCAACTAATAACTAGGGGGCCCCACAATGTATCATCTCTTCTCATAATCCTTATGAACATTGATGAACTTATGGATGACTCCTTCGCTTCCCCATTTAATGTTGATATTTTATTAAAAATATGTTGATAATATAGAACAATTCACCATTGTTGATATCATCAGATCATAGAAGATAATAAAATATTGATATTAAATACCTGGAGCACCCTAAAGAGAATAATTATTCAACAAAAAGAATAATATTAATAATTATGCTGCCAAAGAATAATTATACTTCTTAGGGTGTACCAGGTAGTATTTTATATATTCCTCATGATTTAAAATCGAAGATTCACCACATTTTGCTCGGAGTCTTATCAGGTGGCCATCATTCCTAGCTTCTCAGTACTGGTAAGGCGAAACTTCTCTGACTGCTCTGTGGACACTTGCACTGAATTCGGACCACTTGTGTGTTGCGCAGTGCGGGACACTGCTGTTGCAACATAGCTTTCATGATCCTGTGCCGGGCACTGTGAAAGAAGCGAAGTCAGGTTGTCACATCCAAAAGTACCCTCTGGTGTCCGGTGCCATCAACAGACATGGCGCTGGGAATTCCCCTGTAAATAGAAGTCTTCATGGGGAAAATCATTTATCTGGTTGGTGGTTCACCTACCCCTCTGAAAAATGATGGAGTTCGTCAGATTGGATCATCATCCCAACTCTTGGGGAAAATTAAAAAAAAAACATGTTCCAAACCACCAACCAGTATGATCTTATACCATGGTTTATTCCCCATTAAATAGTTGATTTACCCATTAATAGCATGGGGATTTTCCATAGTTAAACGAAAGGACATCTATTTTTCATCTGTTTTTTCCGGGGGTTTTGCATCGGCCCAAAATGGCATCCCAGAGATTGGGTTCAGATCATCGATCGGTCCTCGCAAAACGAGCTGTTTGCGTTGGTCTTCCGGCGAACCTTGGGCGAGTCAGGTTTTCTACGCACAGGGCCTTGGTTTTCGTACTACCCCTGGTTATTTAACAGTTTGCCATGGGAAATGGCCCATAGAAATAGGTTGTGACTAACATAGCCATGGTATTGATGGCCCATGAAAATAGATGGTTTACCTACTAAAAATAGTGATTTTCCATGGCTATGTTAAATAACCAGATGGTAACTGATGGGTTCAGGGGAATATCTCTGATATAACTGTAGTATTTTGAAATTGACAGCCCCCAAACAAGAAAGGTTACTTGCTTGGTAAACATGTGCAGCGCCGCCTTTTGTTGCCAGCGGTCGCTTGAGCCATTCGGCGTTCGAACGGCGACATGATAGGATGAATCAGCTGTGCACGGCAGTCAATTGGTTTGATCACCTATGTTGACCTGGATGTCACCTTCAGTTTCACACGCCTTAAGTTTTGTAGGTGTTAAATCGATTGACTGGCCGCGCATGACTGAATCCAGCCCATCATGCTTCATCCCTTTTGTTAAGGGGTCTGCTACCATGCGATCTGTGCTCGTCCACAAAAGCCTGGTTGTAGCATCACCAGGGATGTGGTCGGTGAGGAGAGGGTCGCCCACCAGTTCGCCAGGTGCTCGCCAAACATGTTGTCGGATCTGGGAGAGGTCAATGGCCAGTCTCTTGTCTGAGACCACGCTCGCACCAGGTTGATTGCAATGTTCCCACAGGGATCGGCAATCAGTGAACCAGTCGACGCCAATTGCGTCTTGGGCAGCCACTTCCCAATCTTGTCCACGTCCATCAGGATGCCATAGTCCATAGAGGGAGAAGCGTAGGTGGTCAGCTTCTTCAGCTCCATGAAGTAGGCTGAGTGTTTCAGCCTGTAGTGTGCTGCGGCATACTCGCTTCAGGACAGTGGAATGCCATTCGATCGGTAGCAAGACACCTTTTCGGGATGTCTGAAAGCTCTTGTCGGCCAGGAAGAGAAGTCGGCCAGATTGGCTGCGGTGTCCCAATCTTTTCCCCGATCCACTCACGTCATAGTCAGCAGCGTGGGAGGCGTCCTGCACGGCCACAATCATGAGGTTGTTGAAGTCAAAGCAGCCAGATGGATAGAATAGTCCCTTGGCTTTCGTCTTCTGGGCGTAGCGGATCACACCATTGGCGTACTTGACGTCGTCCATGGTGGCAGTGTGCACGGTGCTCTGCATGCGGCAGACAGCGTATTTCAAATCAGGGCGGCACACTCGTGCAAGCCATGCCAGGGATCCAATGATGCTGCGCAATTGGGATCGGATGTCTTCCGTCACAGGCTTGGAAGGTTCTCGCCTGTCACCAACTGAAAGGTAAATGGGCTTGACCTTCTCGATCAGCGTGGGGCATGTGATGGATATGCCTTCAGCTGTTCTTTTCACATCTCTTCCACAAAATCTGAACTCGTCAATCTCCAGCTTGCCAAACTTGAACTTCTGGCAAATGCGGTCCATCTTGTCCATGATGAACTGGTTGCCAGTCCAAATCATATCATCCACATGAACAACCATCATGCCTGCCAGTTGCCCATCATCATCCAAAAGGGTGTAGGCGGCTGGCTCAAATGGCACTTGTTTGAAACCTTCTTCCTTCACAGTCCCATCCAAGACCTTGAACCATCCTCGGGGAGCATCTTTCGTTCCGTAGACGGTGGAAGAAACGATGTAGTACTCCTCCTCATACTTGATGGTCCCATCATCATTGGGAATTCCGCCCTTGGGCTTTGAAAGTACCAAGATGCGGTCGAGGGTACTGCCTTGAAGAAAGGCTGCAGAGATGTCTCCAGCTCGGAGGGATGTTCGCTTGCATGCTGAGAGTGCGAACACGCAGTTCAGCATTGTGGTAGATGCCGTCGGAGAATCTGTCCTCATAGAGGTAGCGTTTTCCAAATCACCTCGGACAACCAGCCTGGATTTGTATCGAGGCTCCTCGTCAATCTCTGACTTGTTCACATCCACCCATCTCGTTGGGATGACCTTCAAGGTCGGGTTGTCCTTCTTCAGCTCCTCCAACTCATCCTTGCTAATGGCCTTGACGTCGGTGTACTTGACCCAATTGTTCCATTCCTTGATCCTTGCTTGGATCAGCTCCTTCTTCACCGCGTCGTCTTCTTTCTCGAAATTCAGCTCTCTCCCGGCTCCAGCTTTCTGTGGTTTCTTCTTGACCTTGCGCTTCTTGTTCTCGGAGCGGTTGGCCAGGAAGCTGTACATGGAGCGGTTCTGTGAACCTCTCGAAAAATGGCCGTCAAGCAGATCCGGACTCCTCCGCAGGGCCTGACTTAAAGAAGTCGTTGTCGGCTCACCTGCTGGCAATGGAGTGTGCCCGGCAGCGACAGCAGAGGTACTTGTTGCCGGAGTGACCTCTGGATCCGGTGGACTGGGTTGCGCCACGGTGGGAACTTCTTGTTGATGTTGTCCCGCAACCGGTGATGATACTTCAGGATCACCATCCATCTCTTCTGGAAGATCAAGTCCAGGAGGTGGTCCAACTGCTTGTGCGGGAAGTCCAGGAGGTACAGGTAGTCCACCATGTTGAAAAAGTCCACCTTGTAGGCTGTGGGATGGTCCAGGTGCACCAAGTCGAGGTGCCACAGTCCGACCTGAGTCATCTTCTTGCAGATCTGCATATGGTGATTGGCCTGGGTCACGTAGGTTCTGGGCGGTGACCAAGTCCTCGTCGAAGGGCATTGGATCATCATCGAGCTCGTCCAGGTAGAGCATGCGCTTCCGCTTGCGTGAAGGGCGAAGCTCCAAGACGTGCTTCTTGAGAATCTCCTGGCTTGTTGCTGGTCGGCAAGCTGTCTCAGCAACTAAAACGGTGACGCCATTGTGCACCAGCCAGAGACTTGATCGTCCTTCGTTTGCAAGAACTCGTGCAGGTCCCAGCCATCGATCCTTCTTGAGGAATGAAACCAGATCACCAGGTTGATACGGTCCTCTCATAGGAACGCTTTTCCTCAGAAGACTTTTGCGGATCTTCTGACATGAGTCGGCTTCCATGTAGGCCTGTTTGGCAAATTGCCTGAGCAACAGCTGCTTCTGAAAAACATCTTGGGGTCCCCTTTCATCCTCCTCCATTGAAACCAAGTTCTGATGGACACCCATGTTCTCGTCAAAGTCGCAGCTGAAAATGCTTGTCTTGTCCTCGGGCATGAAACCCATGACCCATTGCGAAGGGGTGTAGCCAGCATGGTTGAGCAGGCTGTTCTTCACCTTGGCGGCCTCGCTGCAAAGTGCAGCAATGTCATCTGCTCCTTGAAGTTGTCGTTCATGAATCACGCGCTTCATGATCTCCTTGAGTAGTCCTCCGTGTCTTTCTCCAACTCCAAGTTGAAATGGCGCACGGGCAGCAGTTTGTCTGATGGTCGTGCCGTGGGCCTCAAGCAGATGTGCCACCTTTCCTCTGTTGTGTACTCCTTGATCACAAACGAAGTAGTCAGGCGCTCCTGCCCATGAAAGCCAGGTGGTGTTGATCATCTGGGCACAGATCCTTGAGCTAGGAACACCACCACCACCAACTCGTCCAGCCACATGAAATTTGGTGGCAACATCCACCAGTGAAAGAACGCTGTGTCGGGCTCCTGCTGCATCATGTACTTCAAACACGTCAGCCGACACCTCATAGTTGAAACGCTGCTGGTGTGCTGGCCTTGGTGGTTTGGTGACATTGGCTTTCTCCTCCTTGGCAGTCTCAGCGCAGACTTGACATTGGAAGAACTTCACAGCTTGGATCACATCTCGATCACTGCCAGATGCCTTGAGCATGCGTGTCATCGCAGCGTGAGAGCAGTGGCCAGTCATGTTGTGAAGTCTCCTCAGGGCTAAGCGCTTCTCTCTGGGCAGTTTAAGCCAATTCTGTCGTCGATGTTCTTCTTGTTTCATAGCCACGTCAGGCATGTCGGCCATAGTTGCATCCTCCTGCATCTTTTCCTCCATCACAAAGTCAGGATCATCAGTCCTTCGTCGCTTTGGTAGTGGAGCAAGATCATCTGGATTGAAAACTCCATCCAATGGTCCTTGTTCTTGGTGTTCTTCAACCTCCAGCTCCGCAGGGAAGGCCATGTTGAGGTTGCCATAGATCATCTCATCCAGAGCTCCTCCAAGAATTTGTTCACAAAGTTCAGGAGGCCATTGTTCAGCAGTCTTGCTGATGTTGGAGCCTTCAATAGGTCGATGTTGATGGTCTTTTCCACAACGTCGTTGAAGTCGAAGTTTCATCCATTCAGATGCAGTGAGAAGGCCAGTTGCCTTTTGAAGAGCAAGTCCTGTGCTGGGGTCTCGAAGTCCATATTGGCACTGGTCAATGTGCATCAGTTCCAAGTGTTCGCCGGTCAGGGCATTCTCAGGGTTCTCGGCCATGAGATCGTCGATGCACTTGAGCTCCCATAGAAGTCCATAGTACGGGCTCTCCAGGATCACTTCTCGACCTTTTCCAAGTCGGTCCTTGATCAAGTTGACGATCCATTGGATCACAGGGTACCATTTCTTCCGGTCTTCCAAGATCTTGGCTTGAGTTTCTCCACCACGTGCCAAGTTGATCCGTTGCATAGTGCTCCAAGGTCCACAAATGGGCGCAAGACTCAGCAGAAATGGATCTTCCACCTGAATCCTTCGTTCAACTTCAGCTCGATGCGCAGGCTTCAGGAGATCATAGTTGTAGAGGCAGTCGATGGGTTCGGACACGGGCAGTCCCCAGGAAGCGGCCATCCAAGTCAAAGTAGCAGCTCCTGCGAAGATCTCCATGAGGAACGTGCCACAGCCGCGGCTCAAAAGCCGTCGAGAAGCTCCAGGCTTGATTGGCTTCTCCGATCTCAGCGTAGACCACAAGGCTGCGTCCTCCTTCTCCACAGTCTCCAAAGATTGCTGCAGTCTCTTCTTCTGGCCTTTGGTCATGGCCTTGATGGAACACTCCTCCAAGGAAAGATAGCCCAGCGTGTCCTCCTCTTCAATCTCAGCTTTTGGTGAGTCGCCGTCGTTGGTGGATTCCTCCTCGGTGTCCACATACACAGGGGTCTCGTTCACGTCAGAGTGGAAGACGTAGTCTCCTTCTCGATGTTCACCAGGAAGAAGTCGAAGAGCAGGTAGTCCACCGCGGTTGATCACCTCCAAATCTCCATTCATAGTCTTGCTGTAGATGTTGACATCCTCGTCATGGTCGCCCAAATCGATGGTGAGGCCAAGTGCTCGTTGTGCACGTGTGCTCAACAGAAGTGGGGCATCGCTCTCCTCCAGTTCCGTTGAGACAATTGTTCCATGTCCTTCTCCACCATCCTTCAGCTGGAAGACCACAGGAATACGTCGCTGTCCCTTCACCTTGATCCTTCCACCAACTCCCAAGTAGTTGCCGGTGGTCTGCTCCAAGGGGATGTCGAGGTTCATCATCTTCTGGTAGGAGTCGAACCACCTTGATCCATGGCAGGTGTTGTTGCAGCCAGTGTCAATGACTGCGAGCATGCTGTCTTCAGGTAGTCCTTCTCCATGTATGGCCATAAAAGAAGCATCACCTCGAAGCTGGTCCATCAAGATGAGGTAGCGGGCAAATTCGATCAGGCTTGGTTCCTTGAGTCCACCAGACTGGTACTTCTGGATGATGAAGGCGCAATAGCGTCGGTCACCACTTCCAACAATTCCAAATCGGACTCCACTGTGCGCACCACTCTTGAGTGTCTCATCTTCCCATTGCTCCAGCTCCTCGGCCTTGACATCTCGTGCCACATAAGAAGAACTGCTTGCCACAGAAGTCCTTGATGGCGTCGGTGAAGGCGGTGCCGATGAAGCGGTTGATCTTGGTCTCGGTGGTGAAGTCGGAGTCACTGTCGTCGGAGAAAATCGGTGGGATGTAGTTCCTGACCTTGACATAGATGCCGTCGGGTCAAAGTTGATGCCATAGACTCGATTCCGGCACTTGTTGTAGATCACATCCAACTGCTCCGCACCGATGGGATTGTGGTTCGTCAGGTCATACTGGACGCCGATGGCAATCTGCATGAGTTCGATCACCCGGCCTGGCTCATCAGTGGCATGCGGTGAAGCCGGACTGGGAGTGTAGCCAGAGCTTGACATAGGAGGCAACGACGGTGGCGTCGACGTGTCATAAGCTCTCCAAGCAGCTTCTCCAGTCTGTCCAGGTTGCTTGTGGCCAGTCCTGGACTCTCCACAGTCCTTGCATGTCCACTTCCAGCTCGTGCCAGTAGTCCCACGGAAATCCTTTCTCACATGCGGGCATTCATTCCGATCTCTCGTCTCCATGGAAGCGGCAGCTTCTCTTTGTTGAATTGCGTAACCCAAGGTGCAGAAATGAAATGAATATTCAAAAATGGTATTTAACTTTGGAGCTATCGCATATTGTATTATCATATCCAAAACCGTTAGTATGCTGTCAAAGAAGCAACTATCAAAGTTCAAGTGTTTCCTTTACAAATGCATCCTCAAAATCATATGAATTCAGGAGTGGAGTTCAGGAGTGGTGAAGAGTGTGACAAGGTCGAAAAGATGTGAAGGCAGTATAATACAGCAGTACAACATGATATACTGCACAATCCAGAGTTGAGACTCACATCAGTGACGGTTACTCTCGCGGTGTCGGCGTTCTCCTCTTTTTTCCACTGCTAGCCAAAGACCCATCGTCCCTACCATATGAGTCTTTTCCCACAAGCCTGAGGCACTCCATTTGAAATCTGGGTGTCCGTCGTATGGACATAAGTCGGCTCAAGAAACCGGAATAAACATTGAAAGCTGTGGTGGAAGTATGAAATACTATACCTTATCAAACCAGACAAAACAAAATACACAAAGATAAGCTGAGCCCAGTCCCAGAGAGAGATCAAAACATAAACAAAAACAAGTGATTGGTGGTTGAATTGAAAACAAGTTTTGTTGATGTCATACCCGCAGCCATAGTTGATTGGCCCGCTGGGATATTATTTTTTTTTTGACTGGAGTCCTCATTCACAGTGGTTTATTCGTTCTTGTCATCTTTGGTGTTTCTAAGCTTCTAAATGTCATTCCCCGTTTCTGTCCTTGAGATGTCTTATCTCTGGGGATCAATTCAAACAACTACTCAATTACTGACATTGGATGTTTTTCCATGCCATGGTATGCCGCAAAATCTAATTAGCGGCCAATCATTTCCATCCTTTGAAGCCACTGCTGGCAGCGACCTCCGAAGCTTTGAGAGGCTTCCACGACAATTCCTGGGCCAGACTGGGAGACATCAAAACCCAACCCAGGTTCCAATGCCCAGAGAAGTAAAGTAATACACTTACAATTACAATGATGATTTCCACAAATCTATAATTAATATATTGTTATTAATATATATATATATATAATATTATTTATACTACATACTATACTGCAAAAATATAATGTATTAATATTATCATATGAGCCACGGTCGAAATTTACTGTTTACGTTAAGTGCGTCATCAAGTTAGTGAGTCCCCTATCGTTTTGCAGGCTTTCCTGTTTGTAAGCATAGTTTTGAAGCGCATCCACTTGGATCCTCATCCCTGGCGATCTTTGTTTGCACGTGTTGGAGCGCACTTGTGCTTTTGCCCGTGCCTGTCTTGTCCTCCTTCGCGCTGCTTGGGGAGTCTCTTCCACCAGCAGGTCTTTTGGAAAGAAAATGGGTTTTGGCATGCTTTGGCCACTCACAGCTGCTAACTGCTAACCTCAAAGTTTATCCAGTCGGGGCAGCCGGGGCACAAAACTTTAGTCCATCACTACAACATACTACCAACATCCACCACCTGTTCCGCCTGTTTTGTGTCACCCGGGCACTTTTGGAAAGATTTTAGTATCGTTTTGGGTATCATTCTGCGCAGGCTCCATCTTTGCAAGTGACATGCGCACGAGACTTAATGAATAGCTTGCTGCGGTCTGCCAAAGCTAGGCCACGCAGCAAAACGAGATACTGCATGGAGTTGGCCACTCCAGCATGCCTACACTGCCTGCGAATAGATGCATGGCTTCCGTAATCTGAGCTACTCGGTGCCGAGTTTAAGCAGCCCACCCAGGTGGCTAAAGTAATGTAAAGTCACATAAAGTCAACCCACCGCATGGGCACACCCATTCATGGTGAAGTGGATCCAACCGTGAAAAAACAACCCTGCCTAAGCAAACACTATGCCCACACCACAAAACGCGCAAGCATGCGCAATCAAAAAACGCACCTTTTTTTGTGAGACCCGAGACCCCTATCGTTTTAGCAGGTTTCATGCAGCAGCCAACATCCGATGCACACTCCAGTACATACTTGATCAGTGATCAGCGCAAATTTTGACGGAATCTCATATCATCATTCATGATCACAAAAATTAAAGCCCCAATGGAATGGAAATTTAAACTTTGAAAACTTTCTAAACTCATGCTGAAGTCAGTCCACATCATCGTCCGCATTGTGAGCACCACGTCCACGTCCTCGTCCTCCCCGCCCGCGCCCGCGACCTTTGGCTTTGCACGCTGCTGACTTCGGAGATGCTTTGCTCTTTGCCGTCGCCTTTGCCTTTGCCTTTGACTTTGCTGCTGGGGACTTGGCATCCTTGCCAGTGCTGGCACGTTTTCTTCCTCGCTTGTGAGTGATGTCTGAGTCAATGGAATCACTGTCTTTCATGTCATCGGTCTTGTGTTTCTTCCTTGAACTGTCTCCCTTCAGCGGATCAATGTCAAAATCATCATCGTCGTGCTTATTCTTCTTCTCCTTGTTGGCCTTCTTCTCTTTTTTGTCCTTCTTCTCTTTTTTGTGATCCTTCTCCTTCTCCTTCTTATCTTTCTTATCCTTCTTATTCTTGTCTTTCTTCTCCTTTGCCGTCTTTCCCGCCTCCTTGTCCTTGTTGATGGCCTTTGCTGCTGGATCTTTTGGATCTTTCTCCTGTGTCAAGTGCCAAAGAGCTGGTGTTTCATCAGCAGGTGGAACGACACTGGAAGGAGCTGTTGGCGCGATGGAAGAAGAAGAAGGAGCTGTCATGTGTGCATGTGCGGAATCTAAGATGTTGCTCTTGAAAAAGCTGCTCAGCTTGATCTGTCCTTTCTGGACAGTCTTCTCATTTGCTTCACCAGATGGTGTCATGGCCTGTTCAACGGGTTCCTTCAATCCAGGCTGGACAACGCCTTCAACGACCTTGGGGCCAGTGGCCTGATCCTTCTCTGCCTCTGGAACTTTCTCTCCCTCACCAGTGGCCTGATCCTTCTCTGCCTCTGGAACTTTCTCTCCCTCAGATTCCTGTGGCTGAAGGCATTTCTTTGCCTCGGCCTCGGCCTCTGTCTCCCGATCTTTCTCTTCCTCGGGATTATCCTTCTCTGCCTCCAGATCTTTCCCCTCCTCTGAATCTTTTTTGGCTTCCTGACCTTCCTGAGTAGCATCAAGCTGTGTCTGTGGAAAGGCAGCCATGGTCTCTGCCTGTGGATTGGACAAGACAGCAGCCGCAGGTTGTGTCTCCGGCAGCTTCTGAGGAATGATGGGAGCTTCCGGCATCTCCGCGTTCTCAGGCTTCTCCGCTTGATCATCATTTTCAGAATCACTGTCGGAGTGAGCTGATGTGGCATCAGTTGCTGCTTCGGTTGCTCCAGTCGGTGGAACTGCATGCTCCTCCTCCTCTTCCTCCTGAAACTCCAGTTCTCCATCTGCTGGTTTTACATGCTCCTCCTCCTCCTCTGGCTCTTCCTTTGCTGCAAACTGCTTCTGCCTGGCGTCTTCAATTGCTTGTGTTTCAACGGTTTTTGCCCTGCCATCATCGAAATCAGCAGCGGCCTGCAGAATCACCATGTTGATGGCTGTCCTTGGCGACAAAGAAATCCGATGAAAATGAAATCTAGTCAAATCATCCCAGTTTAGTCTAGTCTAGTCTGATCATCTAGTCATCTAGTATAGTCTATGTCTTTATCTCATGAGCCCACCACCATTGAGAGATACATTTTAAAAAAGTTTGCTTAACCAAGCTTAAGTCTCTTGATTCCACAAGCACCTGCGATGAAACAGCAGCTCTGGGTATTAACGTCACATAGCAATGTGGAAGTTGCCCGCAAGATCAGATTGTGGCTGCTGACAGCCTTGTCGCAAATAACCGCACCTGCAGGGATGTACAAAACATCCCCACTGTTGACGAAGACATGCGCAAAGGACAACGGTGCCATTTTCTCAATCTGCTCTTGAGTGAGCTGGGAAAAGAAGTGCAAAAGTGCCTCAAGGGGAACAACGTTCCAAATGAAATGTATAAAACATGAAGCTCAGCAGGTAGGTAGGTATACGTAGGTAGGTAGTAGGTAGGTAGGTAGGTAGGTAGGTAGGAAGGAGTAGGTAGGAGTAGGTAGGAGTAGGTAGGAGTAGGTAGGTAGGTAGGTAGGCAGGTAGGTAGGTATACAGTATATGTATTGGCTTTTCATGTTGGCTAGTCTCTGGTTCGTTGATTAAACCTTTTCTTTGGACAACAACATATACCTGCCTTAATGAGGTCTGGTCCCATTTCAGGTGTGACTTCCTCAGGCGCATTGGGCATTTGGGCCATGATGTCCATTGCATCAGCTGTTGCCAAGACCCGGCAACCTTCCACTTGGTAACACACTGACCCCAGAGCAAGGGGCTGGTGTCCAACAAAGGAACTACCATGCTTGTAGCCACACCATGTTTGTCCATCTATGCGATGGCTTTCCTTCAAGGCGACCTCTTCTGATCTGCCACTCTTCTTGACCATGTCATACGTCCTTAGCAGTGATAAATATGTTGCAAAGGTTGGGTCGAGTCGGTGGCATTGATAAAATGTGTATCTGGCTGAGCTGGCTGTTGGCTGCATGTGTGATAATTAATCACAATCATGGTATGTTTGGGAGATGCTATATAAAGTTGCGGCGAGGCACGAGTCGGTCAAGTGATCTCTGTCAAGCAATGCTGCAGTGATCTCTTTGGAAGAACTCTTTTGCCGATCTGTCTCCAGCTGTGTGCTAATAAGCTCATCCATGGCGAGAAGAAGCGCTGGCCCCTCTGAGGTTGAAGACAACCGCGAATCTTTGCAATCAGGTGAGTTGAAGGATCCAAAGCACTGTTCTCCGAAATCAGAGCCAGTGTTGACCAAGATTTTCTGCATCTGATTGCACTCGGTGGGCTTTAAGCTGTGCTCCTAGGCTAGGGAAAGGAAAGAGCTATATGACACACGAGCAAGGTTTGTTCATTCTAACATTCTACAAGTTGATTTGATTTTTGATTTGAATCAAACTTGAAGTTTAACTTAAATATACAATATACAACTAGTTCCCCACCTGCCAGGTGAGGGCTGTTAGATTTTATCAGAACTGTTCTCGGCTAGCTCAGTGTGCACCGCTAGACCTCAACGGCCAGATAGAATGCCAGAAGATATGCCAGATGGAATGCCCGATAGAATGCCAGAAGATATGCCAGAACATATGCCAGAAGATGTGCCAGGTAGAATGCCAGAAGATATGCCAGATAGAGTGCCAGAAGATATGCCAGATAGAATGCCAGAAGATATGCCAGAACATATTGCAGAAGATATGCCAGATAGAATGCCAGAAGATATGCCAGATAGAATGTCAAATAGAATGCCAGCAGGTATGCCAGAAAGAGTGCCAGAAGGTAAGATAGAATGCCAGAAGATATGCCAGATAGTGCCAGAAGATATGCCAGATAGAGTGCCAGAAGATATGCCAGATAGAGTGCCAGAAGATATGCCAGATAGAATGTTAGAAGATATGCCAGGTAGAATGCCAGAAGATATGGCATATAGAGTGCCAGAAGATATGCCAGAAGATATGCCAGATAGAGTGCCAGACGATATGCCGGATAGAGTGCCAGAAGATATGCCAGATAAAATGTCAGAAGAGAATAGAATGCCAGAAGATATGCCAGAACATATGCCAGAAGATATGCCAGGTAGAATGCCAGAAGATATGCCAGATAGAGTGCCAGAAGATATGCCAGATAGAATGCCAGAAGATATGCCAGTAACAAAACGTATAAATGTCATGCTGGGGATAACTCGAAGTAAAGTAACTTGTTTTTATTATTTAGTTTGATATAATAATTATATGATATAGTATTTCAGTTCCAAGTATCGGCTAGAACCTTCTTGAAGCATCCTCGTCTCAATCTACCCAAACATGCTCTGCCGGGGTGTTGGGCGATCATCTTGACAAAGTCTTTCACCTCATGTGTCACTGGCATTGCACCAAATGCCATCCT